AAAGTAACCTGGCAAGAGCCAGATTGATGATTGTGTAGAACTCTAATGCGTTCTCCACAATATCAATCTGGGACTTCTGCAGGAGAATCCTTTCGGGGGGAGGAGGGATAAGCAGCAGAATACTTCAAGCTGATTGGGCGAACTGACGCTGTGTGCCCGCCTACCAAGGTTTGACTTAAACCAATCCCGGTAACATTATGTCGTCATCGGCGTGCACAAAGCGCATCTTGCTGTTCATCTTTCAAAAAAGAAATTGGAGATTCTGCTAAAACTGACTTGATAGCCTCAGCTACGCGTCCGTCCTCCTGCGTAGCCATGTTTGTTTTGCTTCGGCCCGGCACTTCTTGCTTTCGTCAAACCCGGATATTCCGCCCTAAACCCCCAGACTGGCGCGTGATTGGCTTGAACACCTAGATGTTCTACTCGAAAAGGGTTGGCGGGAGCGGGGCAAGATGTATTATCGAGTGTTTGTGAACTCACAAATACCGTGAGAATTCAGCTTGCAGGCAAGGTTACACCCAAAGCACTTTACAATGTTCAGAGTTCAGAGATTGTTCCAATTATTCCACATACAGTGATGATGGAATCAACACCATCCATTCACTCTCTCATTTATATTCAAACCTATTGTGCATGTTTTTAGTGGTAGGGGAAACCAGAGCACCCGGAGGAAACCTACGCAAACACGGGGAGAACATGCAAACTCCACTCAGAAAGGCCCTGTTCTGACCAGGATTCGAACCCAGGACCTTCTTGCTGAGAGGCGAGAGTGCTATCCACTCAGCCACCGTGCCGCCCTTAAACTTTGAAACCAAGTAATTTAGTAGATTTTGTTCTAATATAGATGAGGTTGAGTGGTTTTAGTATGCAATGGCCGGTAAATTTAGTGCATCTGCTTTGTGATTTGAGTTATAATGCATATCACATAAAGCATAGCTGTTTTGACTATCATCAGTGAGGCCCCGTCCTCTTTCTCTGACATGTCTGTCTTTTACATTTGAGGGCTTAATGGACTGGTGAAACTGCAGAGAATGCAGTATATCTTGTAATATATGTATTTTCCAAAACACAAAAATCGAGAGATTGCAATATCAACTTTGATAGATTGCGATATTAATTATTATTCACAAATTAAAACCACCATTTGGCATTTATTAATTTAGTTTATTCCTATTATCTGAGCTCAACTCAAGTTCCAATGAATGTATATGTTTTGTATTCCCATGTGTTGAGTTCCAAGCACATGAAATGGTCACGTTTATTTATACAGCACATTTAAAAAAACAGACATGACTGTTACTAAGTGCTTTCCTAACATTACAAAATACAACACAACACACAAATGAAATACAGCACAAAAATAAAATACCGGGCCACAATAATAAACGTTTCATTTTAGCTTGAGTTAAAAAGCCAGAGCAAAGAAATGTGTCTTTAGCTGAAATTAAAAGCTCTCTAGAGAGGGGGCAGCTCTCAGTGTTCAAACCTAATGATGAAGTCTGCGACCTGTCCGGTGGCACAGCTCTCAGGTGAAAACGAGGGTAATCCACAGAAACTGTTGTCCAAAAGCGCATTAAACAAGTTAAAATGTCAAGAAAAATAAATGTCTGAGTACATTGCTGAGCTGCGCCCTGATTGGCTCATCACGTGGAGCCAATCACTATTGATTCTTGTAAAGCGGTTTACTGTTGAAAGTTGTTGTACCTTTCATTTCTCCACATTGAGAATTTGTAACAACTTCCAAAGGTTTGTGATCAAGTTATCAAATCTGGCTTGCAACATAAACAGAGTAGTCAGATCCACTGTTCCACTGGTTGGTGGTTCCCCTGTAGTGCATGTCAGAATGACATAGCAGATTATAGAGCAAAAAGGTAGCAGTAGCTGAACAGTAAAAAGTGTGACTTTTATTGCTTCGACGTATGTGTGAATTTGCTTTGCCAGAGACTGTGGATTTGTCTTCGCTCCTATCTGGTCTCAGCCTGTACTGTGATTATTTATCTTTCAGATGGACGATCCATCTATACATAATGGGCACAATGAGCCTATTACACACAGGCGCAAAAAGGCACACAAAATGAGAAACACATTGAGTATTTTGGTCGTCTGCGCTCTCTGTGAGTTAGTCTCCCTAGTCAACCTATCCTCTATTTAACACTCATATTTTAAACTCTGTTTCCTCTAAATCCTTTTCATTTTCATCCAGATTCAATAGTTGGCAGTAACAGTCAGAAATTATTTCATTATGGTGATGACCATAACCCCGTAGAGTCACTCGTGGGATGGTATATATGTGAACATTTTGAACATACCAATGAGGAACAGTCATGTTGTGTAGGTTTTAAACATTAACATATGTCTTTCTGGAGGATGTGGACAAACTGGGCATAAAGCTGCAACAAACAGTGTAATCATCAGTGAAGTCATTACTGTGCTATGGTCATTGTGGTAGGGTTTTGTGTGCAAGGTCTAGAAAAAAGGATACGCAAATGAATAACATTTTGACCCAGAACCAGTATAAATGATCAATTCCATACATCATATTTTCCACATTTCCACAATATGCAGATCTGCTAATCTGGCACAAAAGCCAGACTTGCTGCCTTACCACACACTCTGACCGGCACGTCATAAATTTCTAAAAACAGAGCTAGGTCAGAAGTTTTCTCTCAATAAATGTATCAGGAATGATTCAAGTGGTCTTGACAACTGAGCCTTTTTTGCATGGACAGTATATAATGTTTAATATCAACAAATCTATCCTCAAACTGCTCTGTCCTGCTATGCGAGACTGTAACTTAATAAGCTCCTTCTCTCATGGCACCAATACATGGCCTATAAGTGGCCTTTGGAAAATGGTGTGGAAAAAAATCAAAATCATTGTCTTTTTCCATTCTTGAAATCATAATCAGTGTTTGCACTGCTGCCATCTTTGGAAAAACACTTATTTTCAGTCACCTTTTTGAACAAAAAACTGAAAATGTGTGGATTTGATACTATTTCTTGTGAGAAGAGATGTTTTTTCCCAATGACGAAAAATCCATGGCGAAAACTGGCTTGTGTCAAACATGTATGCATCTTCTGAACATATATTAAATACAGTATATATATATTGTCGAAATGAGGATTTGACAAAAATATTGAACACAATTACTCTAAATTAAGCAAATAATTGAACCAGTGTAGAGCTAGATGGAGCTCAATGCGTACCACAAATTGTGAAACGTTGAAACTGTAATATATGATATATTATTTTAATAGTGAGCCAAAAATGGATTTCTACCTTTGAGAGATAATTAAGACATTTTGTTCTAAGTTTACAGTGAAGGACAGTAGAGGATTGTCAAAATAATAGGGTTTTTTTCAGAGAGGTGGGACTTCCAGCAAAATCTTTAAACAGAATTTCTGTTATTGAGGGTAATCATAATAATAATGTGCCCATTAGCAGAATAGTGAAATGAAAAGTCAAACTCTACTCAATTTTTAAAGAGCTTTGTGATTGATCCTGTTTAGTTTTTGCCTTCTGGATCTCCCTTTAGGGAGATGCTCAAATACCGTGAACTATGATCTACAGGTGCTGCGTCCCTTTGGTGATGGGAACATGACGAGCCTTCACAACACAGCTGTGATAAAGCTGTAAATGCTCTATGTTTCACATATTTGAGCATTTATTTTATAGTGTTCTATTTGTGCATAGAATAAATCATTTGAGTAAAGAGATTAAAGCAATTTTTATTGCTCTTTGCGGACAGGCGATGAATGCACATTTGTGAATTTTTGGCCTTTTGCTCTCAGGAGTTCCACATTAACTGGGACTTCCTCAGAAACACACCCCTTTTGGCGGGAACATGATTTCCTGTCTCGTGCAATGACATGTGGGACCTAATCAACTGCATTTGCACAATGCTGCACATGGGAGCTGACATGAAAAACTCAGCTTGTCCTTGAAAGCAACGGCTGAAAAACATCACCAGAAAGAGTCTTTATAGAAGCAGATACACAGAATCCCATTAAAGATAGTAAACAATAACTGTGCATTTCAAAGGACAATTTTTTGGTCTTGGCACATGATGTTTCAATATAAATCTTGTTTGTGTGTGTGTGTGTGTGTGTGCTTTCGTCACTGGCAGAAATGATACAGTATTTATGGATGGACTGATGAGAGACATTGTTTCCATTGAATATCATGGAAGACTTTTGCTGTGTATGCAAAGGTTTTGGAGGATCAGGGATTAAATGACTGTTCCAATACTTGTCAAGTTCCCTACTCTGCACTGGTGTTTTTATGACATAGTGGGGACTGTTAATGTTAAGTGACCTTTCAAGAATAAGAACCGCACTTAAAGAAAACCTCATAACATTTCCACATAAAACATTAATCAGTAGCGTTTGCAGTTGAAAGGATCTTTTCAAAACATGCTTGAGACTAGTAGTGATTGGTACAAGAATGGGAGGGTGCACCAAAGTAATTACTCAAGTCTTAGTCATGGAGATTTCAACGCATTACATAGCTTGTTAGAACTGTACTTGAATTGAATGTACAAAACATTAGTAACAGCATTAAAGCCCTCCAGCTAAATTAAGATTGTGATGTTGTCCAGGTTACACTTTGCCAGTCATATCACTGCAAGGTTTCAAACCAATTTCATAATAAATACATTTTTCAAAATAAAGATTTTTTTACAATCCCTTGTAAATCTTATAAACGAGATTCAGCTATAAAGATAAATGTATTGTTGTATTGAAGATATTCTGGTAGAATATAATGGAGAAGTGGAGGATGGGTAGGTGTGGTCTTGACATATCAGCTCCACCCCCACCACAGATGGAGGTATAGATGGCGCACAAACAGCTGGCTGCATCCAGACCTCTGGTCCAGTCCAGTGAGCTGCTCTAGTCCTGAGAGGTCCCTTCTCAGTGAAGTAGACCAGCCACTGTCTCCCCACCCTGCATTACCCTTCACGTTTCTGAGCAGCACCTTGAAGGAAGCACCAGGCTTGAGGATGCAGCTCCCCCGCATCTTTCCACTCATCCTTCTGTTGGTTGTTGGAATAGTTCTGTCTGGTCCATCTACACCCATCAGGAGCAGAGGTATGTCATACATGCATGTAAATAGAATCAGTTTCAAATGTTCATATACAGATCTTTGTTTATAGTTGCTACTTGTGTGAATGAGTGCACCCCATTATTATTATGTTGTGATCCAATCTAACTGTGTATAACTTTTCCAAATGTCTACTATTAGTACAAATTCATTGCATTATTACGCAGACTACTGCACATAAGATTCAGATAAGACATAAAACAGCACTAAGACTTTTGTTTGGAAAGGATGCCCACTGATATTTTGATGTGACAAGTTTAACATTTCCTTCCCCTTTTATTATAAGATGGATCTTGATCCAATCCAAAGTCATATGCCTTTCTGTGCCAATTGTGGTCTCAAAATATTATTTATTATTTCAGAAATGTTCTACCAAATCACCAGAACTTGGTATTTAACAAAGAGTGTAACAGACATTATGGTTGGCATGTAAATGGTGCTGCTGTCCAAGTCCAACCGAGGAACACATGTACTTGTTTTGTTTAATAGAATCATTCACTCTTGATTTCTTTCTCATTTAGCTTTGTGGGTTTCATGTGTTAGTGATTTCAGGTGTGTTTCTGTCTGCAAACCCTGATGTTGGATTTTCAACATATCTCTGTGTGAGGTTTTGGCCAGTAGATACACGCTGTGTGTGCAAAGAGAAAATCATTTAATGGTTAATTTGGTGGTATTTGTTTGACTGCTTGTGTCATGGATACAACTGGATGAAACACTGTTATGGGGCTATAACAATGTCCAATTAGAATGAATTTGAATAGAAGTTTTTCAGAGCCAAACAAATGTAATCACATGCACCACATGAAGGAACACACATGCTGTTAATTAGCAAAGAAATCAGGTGTGTGTACAACAATTTAAGCGTTTCACTTTTTAGTGGAAAGAAAGCTCTTGACACATATAGGCCGGGAAAGATGAAGAAGGAGACACAAGGGAATGAGATGCAGCTGTTGAGTCTTACATGGGATATAGGGTTATGAGCGCACAGACAGAGATGGATTGTGTTCTGAGGACTTACATTGGCCTCAAATGTGCTGCTAAACAAATTTGCGGGGATCAAAACTGTCCAAACCACACTGAGGAAAATTACATTTAATTTGTCTGCGTTTAGTTTAATGTTATACATGTCTTGTCATGCAGTTTTTGAGGCTTTTGTGATCTCCCAGAAGGAACTCAGTATTTCCTTGTAGTAAAATTTGAATTATTTTACCAATGCAATATTTTCACACCTCTTTGCTTTAAATGAAGGTGACTGTCATAGAAAAAGCCATTTAACATCTGTCTCCTCTATGAGCCAAATCTCTTCTCCACATCTCCTCAGTTAATTTGCCAGAGGTGTCTAAAAGCACTCATGTCCCTGCGGTACAACAGAGTGTGTCTGTTGTTAGGAGTTTGTCACATAGTCTATAAAGAGTTATGGCCAATATACTGTACTAACACGAGAAGTTATTGCCTCATTTGGGCAGAAGGCACTGCTGAGTGCACAGCCAAGAGGTTTCACTCAGCGGTTTTCCTCCCAAAAAGATTCCCCAAAACTTCCATTTCATTTTCAACAAATAGTTGAAAGGGGTTTTATTACATTAGAATGAATTCATGTGCATTGTGTCATTAATACTCACAGATCATGTAAACTTGACAACATAAAATACACATAAATGTTATTGTTGTTCCATAGCAGTCATGCTGACATCCACATTCACCCCGCCCCTCTATCCCTGGACACTTTATCACTTCATCCAAGAACACTCGCACCTCAGGCCAACTGTGTGTTTCCGTTTAAGGGTGTTCCTCTCCCAGCGCAGGATACACACACCAGCATCAGGCCAATGGAAATCTGTTTAGTGTAATCCTTCATATTTATGTACCGTCTTCCAATCTAATAGTGACATAGTAACATTTAATTAAAAGGTAAGGGTGGCTGAGATAGATTTATTACAGACTCCACTCAATGTCAATGTCACATAGTTTATGCACTTTGTAATGTCTTAGATATTTTGATAATCACATGTTTTGCTGAAACGTTGTGCCAGACAATTTAGCAGATTTTTTTGTCGATTTGACGATTGTGTATCTTTTGTGATTGAATATTTATAGAAAATCAATCTGGCCACAGTTAAATACCGTTACATGACATTTGTTAAAATCATAAATCAACTCATGTTGACTGTTTCTCCTGAAAAAATATCCTCCAATCATCAATCATTGAGCTCAGGTGAAATGGACATAAACAAACAAATGAACTTTGCAGCTTAGTGGCACTTCTGGCTCGATATCGCGCCAGTGTCTCCCTCTGTGCTGTGGGTGATTGATTATAGGGACGGCGACCAGAGCCATTCTTCAAGCTCTCACTGGAAACACTGATAAGTCTGAACAATCCTCACTCTGAGAAGTGTGTGGACCAAGCACCGAGCAGCTGTTTGAGCCAGCATTAGCTTGTACTGTACCGTACTCGCTTGCCACTCTAAAACAATGTGTCAGTTTTTGGTACTGTTTTGAATGTATTATCAAGGTTTTCTCTGTTTTGGAAAAGAGACCATTTAGAATTTGAAAGCAAAATGAATGCTGTTTTGATAGGAAACACTTCGCTGGAAAATCCTGGGCTTCCCTTGCGTTCACTTTGTTTTGGCATCTGGCAGCTGCTGGCAATGGTCCTTAAGCAAAGTTCCACTATTTCATTTAACACTGAAAAATGAGCCAGGGACGTGACCAAACGGCCTACAGCCTCAGCACAAGCAAGAGTCCATTATTTGATCAGCATTGATGATGAAGTTGGATTTTCAGTTCATTTATCATTATTACTGCAGGGGAAAAGTGACAGAGAACCTTACATGGAAATGTTTTCAATGCGTAATTTCACAGAAGTATCATGTTGAAAGTGAACCACATTTGCCACAATAGGCTACAATGATGGAGGACTGCGTAGTGGACCACGCTGACTTAGTTTGTAAAATCATAACATATGGTTACAACAAATCTAATCAGCGTTGGATATACCAACAAAACTACTGCTGGAGAAACATTGCTTTTATGGATGTGCATTTTATCTTCTGTCTCTTCCATTGTTTCCCTGAATAGACAACTTGTTTGATATGTTTTACTTCTTGTGGGATAGAAAAGGAACACTTGCAAAATATTCTGTTTGTTGAAACAAACTGTGTTTAACAAACCTTTTATCAAAAATCTATCATTTGTTTGCACTAAACATGATTTCAACATCACAGCGCTTAGATGACATGCAGAGTGATGATTTACAGTTGTCCATGTGAGTCCGCCAGCTGCCATGTCAAAAGTCACATGTCTGGCCCAGCTGTAAGGATCACAATTTGCAGATGTTGATTAACATGGTGGTGGTTGTAAAATAGTTTCCATGTTCTGTGCAGCCATGTATGGGTAATTAGGAAAGGAGAAAATAACACATTTTTTGGTTTGTTTTTTCTGGAGAAGTTTCTTTGGTTGAGGCTTTGTTGGCATTGTGAACCATAAACTTTATTATTCATTTGTTGGCAAGCATTTGGTTACAGTTTCTCAGAGCACAACATATCTGTGTTTGTGGAGATTACAAAGTGTCAAACTTTGTAATCACTAAGAAAGCTACAGTATGATTGTTTCATTTCTCAACAGCATTGATTTCCTGGGTGGACTTTTTGCCAAATAGGTTTTCATAGTTGATTCTTACTGCCATAGAGCTTAGAAGGACTGCTGACGTCACCCATAGAGTTTTTCGAACGCTGCAGAAGCCATCTTGGCCAGTTTTGAGCCAGAAAATCTTTATATGGTCATTTGTCACAAAAAGGTGACTGACTGTAATCTAACATTTTGCTAAGGCAAGCTGGAGTTTCTCTGCAAGTCAAGGATCAAGGAGAGCGCTATACCATGGATTTTTAAAGGGCTTAGAAGAGTTTACTTTATGTACATTTATAGGATTATGGCTTAAATAATATTTCAGCAATTCAAGTCCAGGTATGAGCTTTGATACCCTGCTATGAAACAATAACTTCACTTTTTTGCATTTGTGTAGTGAGACGTCAAAATATGAAAGTGCGCATCAACGCCACCGGAGACACCATCGTCATGAAGTTCTTGCGGCCGAGTCCTGACACCAAACTTGAAGGTTACATCCTCGGCTACGGCAGCAGCATGTTCTCCAAACAGTTCATTCAGCTGCCCGAGAATGGAAAGCCGTACGAGACAGAGTTTGGTAAGAAATACTGCCTAAACCTAAAAATATGTTGATAGACAAATATATGAAACCACTGAAGTGTGATGGTTTCAGACGCGGAGCCTAAATATCTTATTGCTGTCCAGCCCATTCCTGTCAATGATGTGAAAAAGCAATGCACAGGTAGATTATATTCAGTCATTTCAATGTGTCTAAATGAAAGTTGCAGAATGATGCAAAGCAACCTCTTGTTGTTTAGGTAAAGTTGAATTGGAAAAGCCGCTTCATTTGGTCATTGGTTCGGTGACTCCTACATCGGTGCTGCTGTCCTGGGGCACTCTGCTGAAAACCCCCTACGAGACCAATATCATGAATGACTGTCTGGAGGATGGGTGAGCTGCAACACTGCTATGATTCACAGATGTGGAGTTTAGAAGAGAAAACCACTCAAAGAAAGGAAAGACAATTTGCCGATTGTCTTTATGCAGATGCTAGATCTGGACAAACAATATACGACTCCCAAAAGAGTCTCAGGTTACTAATAGTAGATCCAGGACTGACTGCAAACAGGTGTTGAAGGAGTCCACCCACTCTGCTTATCTTAAGAATCACATTTTTCCATATCAATGTAATCTAATGTCTTTTATCACCCATTTTTTGGTCCACCGGGACGATTTACCCATTCCCATTTCTGTGTGCTAGGCACTACACAGTCCGATATCGTGAGAGGAACAGGAAGTGGAATTATCAGACTTGTCCCACGAGTGATACGGTCATTGACAACCTCAAGCCCAACACCATGTATGAGTTTGGTGTCCAGCCCAACACTAAAGAAGGCAATGGACACTGGAGCAAACCTGTCGTCCACAACAACAATGGGGGATCTGATGGTAGGATGTTAAATTATTTTAATATGATAATTATAAATTATTTTAAAACAATACTCAGGTCCCTATAATGGCGTTTGTTACAGAATGTGTCTTTTCATATCTATACATTGTTTTGTTTTTTCCTTACTTGTAGACAAGGGCCTCGTCAGAAAACGACCCATAAACCCATTGGTATGCATTTCTCTATACATTTTTACACAAAAAAATTAGTATTCTTGGGATTGTTGGCCATTTTTAAACCAACGTCTACAAGGAAAGAACAACAGAAAGCATGGTTAATAATATTTTAGTCATTAAATGTCACGAGCAGGTTACTTTTCAGAGACATTTTACAAATAGAGAACATCATTCTGTTATTATTTATGTTGTGCATCAGAAAGTCTATGTCACAGTTAGCCGGATCATATATTATGACAGTGAGGTTATATCATCAATGACCATATCTTTCCTCTTTTTCCTTGTATGTTGCCCACCAGAAAACGTTCCCTGGCCAGCACTCCCTCCCCTTCACTCCACGTCACGGTAAGCCAAAGTTGTGGTGGAGCCCGGTGCGCCTCATTTACTACAGCAGCGGGACTTTAATATGATACTATAATTTATTGTTGCTTACACACGTTTCTTTCAGCTCTTTTCAATGACCTTTGACTAAATGCTCCCTGTGAGATCAATTAACAACAACTTTGAATTATTATTCATCGTCAATCATACAGAATAGCTTTTTTAATGCTACTGCTGTACTGATGTGAATGGCCCTATATAAGTAATGTGTATCATTTTGGTATTGCAATAATTGGAGAAATTACTATTTTACATAATGCATGACATAACTCTCTTGCAGGCGCTCTGAAGCCATCTCAAGTGTTAACCTTAAACTTTAACTGTGCTCCTTGTCCTTGTCAGTCTCACATAACAGGACCCAGGGCAGACCGACCCTCTTCAAGAAGCTAGCTCCAAAGACCACTCTTGGTAATTACTCTTTTTACCTCAGGCTCAACTCTCTGTATCTGTCTGACTATTTGGTTTCATCTATGGACAGTCTATCTCTCTCTCTCTTCAATCCTTTTACACAACAATGTTTGAATCATATCAGATCTTTGTTATTCTAACTTTAAAACATATTTCTCAGCTCCAACCTCTACTAGGCAGGATTCTGAGTTGACACCACGGCCCACAGTCCCTGTTGTGACCAAACAGCCTGTCATTGGTAAACCATAACTATCCCAATGGGTTTCTGTTCATAAAGGCTTCATGGCTTTAACAGTGCTTTTGCCAGATACAGTGGAATAAAGTTGGTGCTCTAAAATGGGCTGTGTAATTGCATGCTCAGTGGCATGTTGTGAGTCCAGCAGTTAGGCCCTTTCGATGGAAAGGATGATGGAGTTGGCACTTTGTTAGTTTGTTATGAGGTAGGTGACCTTGGCTGCATGGCATTTGTGTTTGATGGTTTTGAAATATCAGAGAACGGAACATTGTGGTAAAATTGGTGTTTTAAGTCAGTTTGTTCCTATTCGCCACGCTTGCTATTCCATTCTATTTACACCAAATTATATAATGGCTAATATTCAGAATTATTGTGTATTTATCGTCTCATTCCGTCTTCCCAGAGTTCAGGACTCTGTTCTGTATTAGAAAGTTGTGCAAACCTGCTGAAAATGTTACACGTCTTACCCAATGCCTTGCTTGTGCTTTCAGCGCAGTGTGAAGTCTGCATGACAAGGCTGCATGGACCAGACATTTGACATTTTGGTTTATTCCAGGTTCAAGAAGAGCCAGATACTTTGTCTTAAATATTGTGTCTTCCTTCCTCTTACTGTTCCCTTTTTCAGTTTTTTTTCTTTTACCAGTTTAGTCCATCAAAGACTTGAAGCAAACAATAATGAGGCCCTATTACTCTGGCGTGTAGAAATAAAACCAATGGATTTTCAATGCCCATCACTCAAAGCCATCCTTGACCTGGTAGTTGTGTCTGTTGGCAGTAACACGGTTGTTACATTAAAACGCTTCCATATGGACCGTCTGCCTTTGAATAGTGAGGCTCAGTGAATGGTATCGCATAACGCGTGAGCTCAGGGCCACGTGCTTCGGCCTCAGCTGATTTGGAGATCAAGTTGAAGTTTTTTTTTGTTTCATTTTGTTTTGATTTGCTTGAATATTGTTCTAGAAACAGTTATATTTTTACAATATTTTTTTTTTTCAACAAACACAGGAAAAGAAGACGTCATCAGTTTTATGTTGCCTCGTCAACCAGTGATTAATGTGCAAGAACCTTTCCCCAAACTTTCCCTACCAACCAAGATTCAACCACACGTACCAAAAAATCAGTCTGCCACCCAAAGTCGTTACTTCAAACCTTCTCCTATCCATAAACCTAAGACCAAATCCACCCTACAGCCTGTTTATCTATCTCCCCCCCTTACTCCATCATTCACAATCAAGCCTCCAGCTGCAATCGCTCATTCCACATCAAACCCCAAAGGTCTGACAGCAACACCTAAGTCCTCGGCTGCAGCAAAGACCAGTGTCCAGTCTGAGACCAAAACTACAGTTATAACAAAGACTCCACACAAATCCAAGGTCCTGTCCAAAGGCCCAGCACATCGCAGGAATCTGTCAAAACCCCAACTACTTCCAAGGCGTCAGCCTCAGGCCAGCTCTCACCCTGCTACCCCTAAGCTTGCTCGTCCCACTGGTAAACATTGAATAAAACTAATGTTCATTCTTTAAAAGAGGCATATTCTCTGATTGATATTGGTCCTAGTCTTTTCAACAGTCTTTGTAACATGTTTTCACTATATTGTCATAAATTATACAATACATTTAAGGCATATAGTGACTTTTGCTCATTTTGTCATGTTTACAACCACAAACAAAGATTGTGTTTTTCATTTTCTTTTTTTGGCTGTTCACCTAAACTAACAAGACGAGAAAACCATGCAATCATGTGCCCCAGGATGACACTGGAGGTGTGAGCCTCTGCACCTGAGCTGGGTCAACTAATTTGTTGTATTCTACACAAATCTTACACATTGTTAAAATAAAGCAATAAGTAATCCTGTTTGTAGTTTGCCCGAAGTCATACGGGGGAGACACAGCTATCATTTGGACATCAGTCTTAGTGCACCATCCCGTGTGTCAAATATTGTAGGGGGAGCATCATGCTGTGGGCTGCTTTTCTTCAGCAAGGATAGGGAAGATTGTAAAAATAGATGGGAAGATGGATGAAGCAAAACACAAAGCAATTTTGGAGTAAAACCTTTTGGAGTCACTAAAACACTTGAGGCTGGGCTGAGCTTTACCTTTTCAGCAGAACAATGACCCTAAATGCTAAGCTGATACAATATATTTTTTCAATGGCCCAATGTTTAGACATGTTTTGCTTTTGCTTTCACCATTCTTACTTTGTTGTGATCTTTCAAAAAAGGAAAGAACTCTTTTTTTGGTCATAAACGAGACAAAATGTGCAAAAGCTCAAGTTGTCAGCCACTGTGTATGCATTACATTTTTTATACTGTGAAAATTGAAATTCAGCATTGTGCCTCTTTTAAATATGAATACATTTTCTGAAACTATTTAAACTTTTCTGTACAACCAAATATACAGAAGGTTTTCTCTTACACAGTTCCTAGTGCTCCCGAAGCGGGCAAGCCTCTGCAGACCCCTGCCCTGGCCACAGAGAAGGCCAGTAGTAGCCACCGGGGTAAACATTAGACGTTTGTCCTGTTGCAATGTCTGTGTTGTCAGTCACACAACCCAATGAGAAGTGCTACTGCTTTGAGTAACACTTCGTGGTTGTCCACCGCTTGCCACGTTTTCATGTGTCCTATCACAAATCATTGTCACCACCATGCCTTCACCGCTTGTATCTTGTCTGGCAACGTTTTTTCAACCTATCATTACATTTCTTCATCGTTACTTGTCATCATTCATTTTATTCCGTCCAGGTCTGAGCTGTTGTGCAGAAAAAGTCCCTTCTAACTTTCCCAATTCATTTTTTCATGTAGGTACTGGCAGCCGTAGACCATCCACTGGTGCTGGCCCTCATTCTTCCACTAGCTCATCCACAGTTCCACCAGTAGAAAAAAAGCCTGCGTCTCATGGTCGTGTTGCACCAGACTCCTCTCGCACTGGTGATAAACCATTATCTCAGGCCAAGACTTTCCACTCACCTGGTAATCATGCACTTTTACTTGAATTACCTCTCTGCTCAATGGCTGTTCATGTTAAAACACTTTTTTTCAGGAAGAAAAGGATACACAAGTCACTTACTGTACATGCCTGCAGTTTTCCATTTCTTTTGTCTTTCTTTTTTCCTTTTGTCTTTCTTCTGTTATATTTGCTTTATCGATAAGGATTGTTAACATGATTTATAGCATCTAAGGTTGGTAGGAAACTCAGAGCTCTGTCCAGTAACACACATTACAGCAACTGTGAACGCACTGCATTGCACACTTGGAATACCCAAAAACCATAGCTGTTAAGATTAAGTCTGGTTAATCTTGTGGTACACCCAGATGATATTGCTCCAAGAGACAGTTACTGATTTTACTTTCTTTTCTGACTGTTTTCCAAGTGTATTTTTATAACCAACCTTTCCCTCCAACAGCTGGTGGGGTGCACCATAGGGGCAATGCGTTCCCTAAACCTGCCGTGTGGCCCAAAGAGAAACCTGGTAAAGACCAACCAAGATAACCACTGCTCAATCTCCCTCATGCACTAACCTCACCATTATGTCCTATCCAACACAGCTGCACTGGTGCTTTGAGCTCCTCTGTCTGATCTGCTCTCTGTTTGTCCACGTGACATTTGGGTCATGGTCTATGTTGTCCATGTATATTCTCAGTGGCTTGTGCTCGACTGGGATTGAAGCCATCTGCAGATTCCTTTTCATCACTTCATGTAATGTCTATGGTGCATTTGCACATAATATGTACCTCCTAATGGGATTTTTTATTGAATTATGTTTAGTCTGGTTCTGGTCAAATTAATGGGATTTTGACAAAGTATTTTTAGTCCAGACTGGCTCTTTTAATTAGAGCAATCAACTCAATCTGAAGTAGCAATTGAAGTCCTTGTCTGGACCACGTATAGTGTGTTATTAATATTGACACTGTTCGCTCCCTCTCGGGTGCTTGTGCTTCAGTCCCATGTCACAGCTGGTGTGTGTTATTTCTGGAAACTTGGACAGTTTCAGAGGTCTTCAAAGAGTCGCTTGGCTCTGTGAAAGCAACTCTACAGAAAATGAAGCTTGGCAAAACCATGCATTTCTAATATAACAATAAACAAAAGGAGACCAAGTTGTGATTATAGCTTTTGTTGAATATTATGAACTAATATGCACTGGGCATCAGAATATAGAGTATCTCTACGTTAAACAATAGATAATGATATACAATCATTATATACTGTCGGTGTCTGACTTTTGAATGTCTATTGTGATGTCATGGGCCATACTGAACACATGTTGATCATTATCTGATCACGTGAGGAAGAAACATTTCTAGAATGCATGTTTTTCTTTCTACAGATGTTGGCTGAGGTTTCTGACTTAACTTCAAATTGAGTTTATTTGCCAAAGTCCTTAATTTATGTCGACCATGGGGAAGCCAGCCCCACAGTACAGAGATGGATACAGAGCCAACACAAATGTTTCTGAGGTGCTAGTCTTGACACAGATTGCAAAGTAAATAATAACACGATTGTTAATAGCGTGTAGAGATAAGATGGTGATGAAGAGCAACGCTTGGCTTTGCGCAGGGAGGAGGGAGAGGACATGTCTTGTGTCAAGCCTCCCTGAGTCTCCCCAATTCCTCTGTGGTGTTAAATCCTGCGTTTGTTTAGGAACATTAGATTTATTATGACTACTATCTTTAATTTCAGCTTGTGTTTTAAAGTAACTCAATCCTTTACATCAGCATCATCTATGACACATTGCTTGGCTTTTATGCACTATGATGTCATCATGTGTTTTATTTTTTTATTTTGCGCTGCTCATCATCTCTGTTGTTCATCCTTCATTGTCAACTCTTTTATTCAGTAGTTGCTGAAACAGCTTTTGTTTTTCAGCAATTCTTCAGCCTGTTCCAGACAACAAGAAAACAAACCTGGTTGGGAAGCCTAGTGACCATGGTGAGATACAGTATTATGTGTAACTTGCTTGAATATTTAGTATCTTTAAATTTCTCTAATTGTATTACTACCACTGAATTAAATACTTTGTGGCACCTTTGGTTTGGTTAAATAACGAACCACTTCCCCCAGAAATGAGTAGAAATTACACATCCATCTATAGCGTTTTTCTTTATTTTGTTTGCATTGCAGCAACACAAACATTTTAGCAGTATAGTAACAAAAAGTTATACACATCTATTTGCAGGACTTTATCTCAGGAGAAGTTTAGTTTCTCCGGGTAAGAGCTGGAGCCGACCTGACATTTTCTGTGTCTGTGTGAGCCGACTTGTTTCATAACATTTCTATAAGGTTCCAATCATTTTGTAGTTCTGTGAAGAATGGTCAGATTTGGCATTTTTCTCTGCTTTTTGTGTTGTTCCAATGCTAAAGTAAAGTTTATAAACATGAGGATACCAAAGGATTTGTAAGGTTGTAACAGAATAACAAGCGTGCTAATGTTTTTGGGCATGACTGTAGATAGAATCTTGTGGTTGTTTGTCTGAATGCAACGAGGCCAGCTCGGCCTTCTTACAATTACAATTACAAATGGCAACTTTAAAGTTATTTGGTGTGTTTCCTCCGCCGGATCAGCTCTGTCACAAACGATTCTTGCCTTGAATAAATAATATCTGAACAACATTCAAGTGATGAAATAGCGTTTTTGTTAAAGTCATAAAACAATGAAAAACTTTAAAAGCGCAACAATTCCACACCTCAACAAATCTTCATTCAGACATTGATCTAGATTACCTCCAAAATATAGCGATACGTTCCTTGTTCCAGTGTCCCGAAAATGTCACAGAAATTATTTTTAACTTAAGTTACTTTAAGTTAATTGGCAGACAGTCAGACCAAGGTGAAAACATAACCTCTCCTCTTGGCAGTGGTAACAAGAAATTAAATAATATGAAATAATAAATAATTGGTAGAGACAACCATAGCCATTCTAAAGGATCTGAATAATCATGAAACATCATTTGAAGTGTTTTTTCTCCCTTTCTATTCTGCTGCATAAGGGAAAGTAACTGAACAGAAATCTGTGGCTTTTGGCCTTGGAGCTTTTCTTATCTGTAATATGATCAACAGCCCTCTGTTACCAAAGCAAAGAGTAATATTGACGACTTTAACAGACAGACATTATAATGGCAGCTCTGCACCAATGTCATTTCTGGCCTACACGTTTGTCTCTGGGCATCTTTGGTGTATTCTGGCTCATCTCTCCTTCCTTTAAAGAGCGCAGGAGCCATTGCACAACCCTGATCTTACAGGCGCCAGGAAAAGGCCATTGGGTTGCTCAGTGAGGATGGCCAGAGCAGATGGAGCACTATGTACAACTGTGAGTCAGATGATGATTCTGTTCCTACTTCTCACTGTCCTCAGATAAACCCATGGACTTGAAGCAAGGAGACAAGGAATCAATCTTGAAGCCATTCCCTTTGGTTACAGCCAAGCCGAAGATAGAGCGTCGGCAACATACCACTTCGACCCCCGCAGTAAACAGTAGGACAAATATATTTTACTAATGCTCAACAATGCAACTGAGATATGAATTGCATAGATCTGATTGAGGACATGGTATATTGGTATATTTTAGAAATCAGATAGTGTGTACAACATAAACTGAAAGAACGTAGAGGTAGTGGATGAGAAGAGCCAGTTTAAATCAGTTGCAGAACTGGTAGGTAGCTGCAGCCAGGGTTGTAAATGGACACAACTCTCTGCCAGGGGCAGCTGTTGGCACGTCTCACAAACCTAACCACCTCTGCTCTGTTGTATCTGCAGACAGTCGCTTTGACGTAAGTGAGAATTCGTCTATATTCAGACCTCTACCTGCATCAGATCTTGACATAATGGGCAAAAAGCGGTTTGTTGGTACGAAGTTACACATACGAAAACAATATTGTTTCCACCATTGAAATGCTGAGTTGAGTCTTTCAAACCTTGCAGCTCCTCATGTGATCTACAAGACGGACAAAAAACCAGATGAACCCTGCTCCATCACATCCTCTATGGCTTATTTCCCAGACGAGGAAGGAAATGACATCAGTGTCACTGGGCCGCCCAAAGCTCCACCTTCAAACGTCACTGTGGTTACGGTGGAGGGCTGTCCTTCTTTTGTTATCCTAGACTGGCAAAAGTCTGATAATGAAACACGAGGTACTACCTATAAGCTTTTAGGATCATTACATTTTAGAATCTTCATATTAGAAAATGTCATGTTTACGTTTTCTCTAGAGTATGAAGTTGTATCAACCACTAAAGGCCCTCATGGAGAAGAGACCTCAGTGTTAACAACCAACCAGACACATACAGCAGTGGAGAATTTAAAGCCAGAGAGCAGGTAAGATGGTCAAAGAGCCAGACATTTTTATGTTTCTGGATCAATGACTGCACATTTTCTCATTTTAGTGAAATAACAGTTTATGCCTTGCAAACTATTTGGGATGTCAAAAACTTGATTCTCTTTCCGTACATGAATTTAAAAAGCCCCTTTTTGTGTCAAAGTAAGCGCATGCATCCAACAGTGAGAAGGGGTGGAGTGGAATCCTGGGCCTGGATACAGAGGTTTTAATTAGAATCTGGAGCCTGTCGAACCTTCAGAGGGATGGCTTTGAATCCTGCTATTGCCAAGACATCTGATAGCAACATTTGGAAAAAACATCATATTAGTGTGTGTGTGTGTGTGTGTGTGGGTAGGAGAGAAACCAATATGTGTGCGTGAAAGATTTATGAAGAACCAAATTATTTACTATGAGTTTTTGTCTTCTTTCAGTTATGAGTTCAAAGTAACACCAAAGAATGAACTGGGAACGGGACCATCCAGTGACCCTGTGTCTTTTAGCACAGAATCAGGTAGGTTTGGACAGCGAAACAATGCAATACATTAGACTCTTCTTTGGGTTCTATTGTAATATATAATTGATTTCAACTTTTGTTTGTTTTTTCTAGCGGACCCACGTGTCAGTGAATATGTAGCAGGTATTTTCAATTGATCTCAGTTTAATGTCAGGGAAAATGCTGATGGGTTATTTTTTATTATTTGTGGTTGTATCTCCTTTAAAAATGTATCTCTTAAATTTTCTAAAGGCAAAGATGCTATTTGGACTCAATTTCCATTTAAAGCTGATGCACACTCAGAATGCAATGGAAAACAATACGTCAAGAGAACTTGGTACAGGAAGTTTGTGGGAATCCAACTCTGCAACTCTTTGAGATACAAGATCTATCTAAGTGACTCGCTAAACGGTGAGTAGTCGATATGCATTAAGTAAAATATGTCTGTATTACAGTGTTTCCAATTGTTAATGCATTCTATCATTTCTGTAGGGAAATTTTACAACATTGGTGACCAGACTGGATTTGGTGAGGACCATTGTCAGTTTGTGGACTCCTTTCTGGATGGACGAACAGGAACACAATTGTTTGCTGATGAGCTACCAAACCGCCAAGGTAACATTCACAATATCTTTGAGCTGGTATCTGTCATTATTAACACACGAAAACCACATTGTTGTATGCTTTACAAGGTTTCTTTCGAGCTTTGCGTCAGGAGCCAGTTCATTTTGGAGAGATTGGAGGAAAGTCTCACATCACTTACGTGGGCTGGTACGAGTGCGGTACGCCCATACCTGGAAAGTGGTGAAGTGTGCAAACCTTCAGGGGACAATGTGCTGCAGCCTCCTGCTGTTTGCAGGCGGTGAGCCTCAACACAAACAGGGCATCGAGGCTTCCCCCAATAACGGCCTCTGAACTCAGTTGTGTGTAATTGTAATCTATTTATCAAACACGTCCCAATGGACAGTAGTTTGTGTGATGAGAAAAGCTTGATTTTCAGACTAAACTTTGGGAAGCTGGCTCCCAAAATGTAATAACTTGTATATTATTATTTATCAAAGGATTGTTAGAGACTATTCTGCAGTACAAGCAAGCAATTGAGGGGTTTCTTTACAAAGGTTTTGTAAAAAATATCTTGGAGTTTATGTGGCGTTCGGACAATGTTGTAAATTTTTTTTTGGTTCACATTTTATAAAGATTCAGTTTTGTAACCAAATACAAAGTAAACTATAATGTTGCATTTATGTATGCAACAAATTCATAATTCCAATGGTCCTGGTTTGAATTCAACACAATTCCTGGATTTCACCATTACTTTGTATATTGAGAAAAGATACTCTGGTGGAAAACATATTTGGTATAGAAAAATAAAAACCTGTAAAATATTGTATTTACACTGCAAAATGTTTATAGTTTTGCATTTTTTTTGTAATAAAATGATACTGGACACTGATATCTTTGAATTGTGTGCATCACTGCGACGTTGTAAATTGGCCGCAATTATATTCCTATCCGTCTATATTTACATACAATTCTTCACTTAGGAGGGCAGACCAGCGTGAAAAACCAACCATACACTCCCATGGCACTATTCCCAGCTAACCACGGCCCAGCAGAAGGAAAAACAAAATACCGGCATTACCACACTTTTTCCAAATCCGGCTTGGGAAGAAAGGGCAGATAGAAGCCAAACCTAACACGCAGGCATGAGCTCAGAAACCATGAGCAGGACGAGTATTGGGAGACAGAGAAATGCAGTAGAAGCTGTTTTCGGAACAAAGAAATGTACTCAACTTAAGGGTTTCAATCATTTATTATGTTCCAGAAAAAGTTACACATCTTACATATAGTTTATACAAACAACTAATCTCACTTGAAGGTGTAATTTGTGTTGATATTAGTAAAAAACAAGAGAAAGCAGTTGCAAGCCTAAAAAGGTGTGATTTTAACTTAGTCATTCAGACCACTTTGCTCTTTCTAGTGTTCCCAACATGGGCAGATTCATTAATACCGACATGGTGATAATAAAATCATAAAAGACATTAGAACAAACAAAACATAAAAGGCTGAAACATTTGAATAAGGTTGAATCTTGATTTTACCATTTTATTATGTAAATTGCAGTTGATAATCAACCCACCAAATTGTTGCTGGGGCTCCGAGGTGTGTGCTTACCGACCAATTACATTATGGACAGGTACAAGAGGATTGTTAAACTTTGCACTAAAATCAAAACAAAAAAACAAAAGTACATGAGGGAAGAAACGGAGTGGCATCTTAAGACAACACACAAACACCAACCACCACTGGGAAATTTAGCTTGTTATGTTTGGGTATTTATTAAATTAGGGGACAGAGCAGTCAACCAGGGATCTTTACCTGCTCCAGCAGGAGCCACATATAAAGAGAACAAAATTGGTTTGATGGTTTTATCGGTATCCCGGACCAGGCTGAGTGTAGCCTTGGCCGTAAGGGGGGCGGTTGCGAGCATAGGGGTTAGCAGCTCCTGGTGGAGGGGTGACTGTGCTGCCTGGAGGAGGGGTGTATGCTGGCCGTGGCTGGTACCCCGGGCCGGGCTGGGAGCTGGGGGGCAGGCTATAGTTGGCAGGTTGTGCGGCTTGAGAGGTATAGCTTTGGGAAGGAAAGGATCCTGGTGGATACTGCTGTGGTCCCTGAGCCGAATGAGGCTGCTGCCCGCCCTGAAAGCCTGGGGTAGGGGCTGGACCGGGAACAGGCGCCTGGGACGAGGGAGGGGCGTAGTTTTGAAACTGCTGCTGTGGAGGCTGTGGTGGGCCAGGCTGAGGGGCTCCAGGCTGAGAGCTGTATCCCGCTGTAAGGAAAAGACTACAGTTATCGAGAGAACAAATGTTGTTGCATTCAAGTATTCATAATCTAGAATAGAAGTGATGGTCAGTAAATGTGTAATAATTTAGCAAATAAAATGTATTAAGCATTTTACACAATTATTAAAGCATGCTCTTACCAGGATATTGCATACCATACTGTTGAGGTGGGGCACCTGGTTGTGGAGGGGGGTACCCCCCTGGAGCCTGGTACTGCTGGTAAGCTTGTCCTAAAAATATAAAAGTAAAATACTTTTAAATACAGCATTAAATAAATGCATCAAAACAAATTATAAAAAACTGCATATGTTTGAATTCCATCATTTTGAAATATGGAAAGAGTTTCAAATCAAGCCAACGTTTCCACTGAATTCACTAAAGGGCAAAACACGAGACCTGGCAGAGCAGCCACCAATGTTAACAACTCCCAGGTTTTGCCTGACAAATAAACACAGTTGACAACAAATAACAAGCAATGGTCATGGGTATAAGAGAACACTCTCGGTCTACTGATTCTATTGGGCATTTTCCATCGAGAGGCATCAACATAAGAGAATGAACAACATGTGCTCTGAAAACCCTCCCATGGCAGGGTTAGTTAGAGAAGGACAATGCTGGTATTGGGTACAGACATCAGTAATAATAACAAATCAACATCAATAATAATAATAATTTTTAAAAATTATTATAATGGTTTCATTTTACCATAATAAAAAAAATGCAGCTCAAGGACTTCTCACCATCATCATCATCATCATCATGACTCAGGGGAATCCAGTGCCAAGTTTGGGTGTTTTTAATCTATATAGACCTTGTATCCAAAATAATGCTTCATATTAAAACAAAATACATTTTTGTTTTCCCATAATGTTTGCTTTGACTCTAGATAATATTTAGATCTCATGCATTAGAGTCAGTTATGCTCTATCTATTGGCTGACAAACAAAGACTAAAATCTAGTTGTACCTGTGCAGGCACATTGGTGTAGAAAGGGGCCAAGTCAACTTCAAATCCAACTGCTGTCTGCTACTTTAATTTAATTTAATTTAATTTGGATTTAATTATTCCTCTAGATATGGAACTGTATTTTCACCCACCGTCCATGCCAGCTGGGGGCGCTTGAAACTCCGGGATAAGGGGGCTGTGGTTGGGGGGGGGGGCACTGAAGGCTGTTGAGCTGCAGATGAAGAGGCGATGCTGTCAGGTGTCGCTGACCGATCTTCTGGAGCAACTGATGGATGAGCTACAAAATCATTTCAAATGTTCTATAACAAAAGGACAGCAACGTTTGGCATAATGTTGTGGATGGTTCCATCTTACCTGGAGCCTGATCTTCATTTAGGCCAAAAGCTGAGATAACATTCTTGTTGACTTCATCTTGGTTTTTCAGCGGGTCGAAGGCAGACATGCTCGCTGCACTCACTGGAGGGCCGTGTTTCCCTGACGGATCAGCTGCTACCACTTTACCTTCACGACCATCTACCGTTTCTACAGAAAGAATCACATTAGAATTAATGTCAGTATTCCAACTAACCACTGCCTGAAAAATCAACAACTTTCAAGGCTGATGGAATAAGAGGTACATTTCTCTCACCACTGTCTGGGGCAGCTGGAGCCAGACCCAGTTCTGCTGGAGGTTCCAGGCTGTCCAAAAGTGTGTTGACTTTATTTCTAAGTTCAATAAGTTCCCGGCGTAAATACTTAACTTGACTTGACTCCAGTGGCCGGGGTTGACCATTTACTAGAAGAATAAAAACAAGCATTACAATTTATAAAACAAATTCTATTCTATTATACAGAAAAAGTATAACACTGCGATCTAATTTTTGCTCTATCAAAAATCATAAGTAGTGAATACTGTTGTCTAAAGAATACTTTTCTTTCTGATTTCTGATACAAAGTGGCCCGAGATGCAGCCAGTGCAAGGAAATGCTGCCCTCAAGTGGACAAGGGAGGGAAATTTACCATAATAATATTGATCTAAATATTTTACATTATGACTTACCAAACAATGTCAGTTTCAATATCCTACTACATTGGATAGCAAAAGTGAGGTCTGAACTGTCAAAGATAGTAATGAGGTCATCATCTATAGAAAAAAAACAATACAATTTTAGAATCTACACTCTTAATAACATCTCTCAATTTCCATGTTGAGACTAGAGACTTGCCTTCATCTTTGTATTTTATGGTGACCTCATCATTACTCTGCAGCTTGCCACGAAAGACACGTTGCATCATCAGCACCAGCTCATCGTAGGTGATGTCCTCATTGTGGATGGGGATCCTCCTGATGTCATCGCCTAACTGGGCCTTGATGATCAGCTTCCCGCTCAAGTCCAGCTGGCCGTTCATGGTGTCTGTCCTCTTCAACCACCTAGTAAATATTAGAAGTAGATTGTCAATAGGCAAAGTCCAATCTATCCATGTACAGTAGATGCTATGAACTTTGGCCAAAGATAGCACATGGGCCTTCCCTAGTAAAAAAAAATACAACAAATTCTGAACATACTTCACATACGTTTTTCTAAAATTCTTGGTAATATTAATAAATAAGCAAAGGGGTCGACTCGAGTAGAGGCTGGCAAAATCCCGTTTCCACGTCATGGCCGGGAAATAATTAGCAGGATGCTAGGGATTTGTGCTAACAATAGCATAGTTATTGTGAAGAAAACCGAATTCAAGTAATTCAAATGAAATTGGGATCAATGCTTGTGACATCATTACATGATGTACTTGGGATTACTATTGGATAAAGAACACGCCTAAAAGCTTGCAGTCATGTTTCAATGGCGTATGAATGAAAAGTATCTCCTTACTCTAGGCTGTAGTCTGTATGATGATGATATTACTTCCCTAGACCTTACGTACAGTACATATGTTCACAGCAATTGCACTAGACAGCCAACGCTGACTTTGACGAGTCAACGTGGCAGAGGAGATCAGAAGTCATAGTGTCAGATTGTTAATAGCAACATAACAAACGTGAAAAATGCTAAGTTAGCATCACTTCCCTAACCCTATGGCGTATGCAATCATTTATGACGCAAATACATGGATATCACCATTAAAGTATGGTAATTTTGATCAGATACAGAAACCAATCGAATATTGACATGTGCTCATAAGACATGTAACGGTAAAAGTTAGATCACTTTAGCAGTATGCGAACACATTAGCCACCCAGTGCTAACCCACTTAGGTTAGCTCGATTTGGTCAACGATAGCGTGACATCCGAGAATAGGTGTTCGTGTTGAATGTAAATGACGTAAAAGTCTATTCGCAAACATGCACCTGAGTCAGACTTGACCACGCTGTACTTCACAGGTTTCTCCAAACCGTGAAAATCAGATGTTTTCCAGAGGCTCCAGCGCCAGCATCAGGAAGTGTGCACTGACAGCGTCAACACGTACGTGGCATTACGACTGCGCATGCGCGACCGTCATTTACAAAGCACAGGATACTCAAAATTCAACTTTTTGTGAAACCCTCTTTTTCTGCGATCCTAGCAGAACGTATTTTGGGGCATTCTGCACACCTAGAGACTGAATGTTTTGCTAATTCGTCTTTATCAAACAACTAAAATTCTGTCGGATTATTTGGGGAGCAGTTTTCAGTTCCCATCAACTCTGCCACTCTTCCCTGTGCCTACTGAAGAAAAGCCTACAAACTCCCCCCACATACACATCACCAATAATTTGTTACATTTAATTTATTGATGTTGTAATAAATACAACAAAATATGCAAATGTTGGACAAAAGGTTAAGAAGAACATGATACAATTACAAAAAGGAAAAAAATATTGAGTAACAAAACTCACAGATGAGGTGGGCTATCAAAAGTCGATGACAGTATATTGCAGGGTTCTTTGTATCGCTCTTATCAACATCATCATCATCAACTCAACTCTGTCTCTTTCTTAGACCCCTGGTATATTGAAAGAGTTGTGAAAGTATGCAAAACATTTGTTTAAAAAAAAAAAACAAGCAGGTAAAACCCTTTAATTGTAATTTTTTGCAGTTTGTTTCACATTTAATGTGAATCTTGAACCCCAATCAACACAATTTAGCATAGCAAAATTATAATGGGACAACCTCACTATCATAATAAATATACCAAACCAAGATATTCATTTTGTCTATTTGTATTTAAATGTCGCCCACCCCTATTCACAGATTTGTCTCTATAAGGTTATTGCTTCTTCTTCTCTTGAGTAGCACTAAACCATGAGTCCAACAGCTTTTTCATGTAATAAAGCTGCCATGCATGAACTTGAACAGCAACAACCATTATTATGTACATAACAGTCACTGCAGAGACCCCAAAAATGAACCTGTAAGCCTTTCCATGGCGGTAAAGCTGCTTTGCAACAGGAAACATCTCCATTCCACCATATATAAGGGGTGCCACAGAAAATAGTCCTCCACTTATCAGGGAAAGGACAAGATAGCTGATGTTGTTTTTTGGAAGTGATAGGCTGCTACAGAGCAACGGAAGAAGACTGAGTAAGTATGGATACTCCCATTGGTATGGCTTGCATATAGTGTCATGTGATACCAGATTGAAGTAACTAACAATCACTTGTGCTGCCACCAGGAGCCATATTAAAAAGTGGATACAGTTCAATTTCCGGATTTCCGATTTTTGGGAAGTACTGAAAAAAAAGAAAAAAAAAATAATTAAGCATAATGGAATCACATGTATCTATAAATATACACTGAACAAAAATATAAACGCAGAGCTTTAGTTTTTGTTCCCAGTTTACATGGTTCAATGGTACATAGTTCGAAGTGCTGTGTGTCCAGCCAGATGTGTGGCAATTAAAACAAATTCATATTAATTTATGTTTTTACTAAAGAGGTTTGTGTTCAAATTGCTCTTTCCTATTTTTAATCAGCTCTCTGTGTGGTGCGCACATGGATCTATGGGGTGCGCGTCCCTGAGCAATTCACATCCTTTGGGACGTGCAGAGAAGTGACATTTGGACGTAGGCGCAAACACAACACAAGGTCCATCTATGAGGTGGGCTGGATTGTCCAAGCAATGAAAAAGTCATTTGTAATCTTTATGCATTTATTTATTAAGTTATGAAAGTATGGAAGCAAAATGTAAACCGACCATAAACTAAAACGTTTATATTTTGGTTCAGTGTAGTTAAAAATATCTTGAATATACCTCATGTGATATTGATGAACAACTCTTTCCTTTGGCTTTTGGTCATTTCCAATAAATCCAGTTAATTTTGCACCTCCGCGCGAAGTCATGATGGAAACACCCCTAAAAACAAAATCTTAGTAATATACAGGGAAAGCACCATCCTTTATGAGCCTCAACATTTAGACTAACGATACATAAACACAAAATATCTGGGGAAAGACCACATTCTTACATTGCATTATGGGTGGATAAACAAGACCTGCTAAATGATAAGCCATGTGAACTAGGTCAGAATCGAATGCTGCAGGGCTTTGTAAATATGCACGTTTATGTCGCTTCGTTATTGTCGGTATCATAAGAAGAAATATTCACCTGTCTTTGATACAGCACCAGATTACAGCTCTACAATCCGACTCAGACAAAGGACCCAGCTGCGGGATGGAGAAAGGAGGATGTGGGAGGATAGGAGAGACTTCCAACACTCCGCTATGAATGCGCATGCGTAGGACATCTCCGGAAACCTCCCCGTGGGCACGTGACTCGTCTGGCTCTTTCCGAGGTGTTTCCATGGATGTATTATGGGTGTTTCACGTACAGGTAACCTTGGCATCAACATCTAAAAACTTATAACTATTCATTACGAAATTACTTGCTTGCTCAGCTGTGTGGACCTAGAGTCTGAAAAAAATTATGATGATGATTATTTGACGTTACCTACACAACTTTAAAACTAATGGAGTGGAAATGCAATGAAGTGGTACCTAGACTAATACTTAACTAACTAGTTGATATTGTAGTTGATTAGATAAATAAATACTGTGAGTTGCATTCATTTTAATTGATTTAATCTACTAGACAACTTTTGGCAAACTGTTTTCAAACAAAAACTAAGAAATATTGTCTACATGTAATGTTGACCTCTCTTATAGCTGTCATGTCATTTCCCCATTTTTAAGATTGGCATAGAAATACTACATCAATCTGAGGGCCCATAGATAACACCAAAGCATAAAATATATAGTTTTATTAAAAACAAACACAATATTAACAAATCACAAATAATTATGGCAACACAATATGTTTGGTTACTGTTGGTTACAATATTAGCGTCTTGAATAATAGAAAAAATACTATGACTTTGAATTTTTATTTTATTGTTTGCAGATTAACTGTAAATAAATATAAATCACACAGTAAATCTTTCATTCACTGCTCATATGTTGTTTATTATTGTCAAAGTGGATTTAATCTGAGACTAACACATTGTGTTTACTGTGTTAACTCATGACATGAGATTATTGCATTAAAAAATACTATTTACGAATAATTTACAAGTCTCCACCACAACTCAGAATATGCAGTCCTTTGGAATTAAAACGAGTTTTTTTAAAACCAAATTCTTTAAAATATTTTTTAATCAGTAACCATCCTACATTCTTTTTCATCTTTCTCTTACCTTTGCTAAACAACAAGCCTGCCCCCTTCACAAACATACTCATAACTTGATTTCACATTCTCCTCTCCATTTGGGTAGCTGCCACTTTTTTTTTTAGATAATATGGGGGTGCCAGCTAAATAATTGTTTATTTTCACATGGCCATATTTCACTTTACTGAATTATAAATTATTTTAGGCCAACATATCTAGATATTTTATTACCCTTTATCTAAAATGTGTCAATTGATCTTAGCAATCTGATGATGCATCAAATTACTGTCCTCAATCAAAACATTTGTTTACAATGTGTACAAACATAAAGCATATTTTACATAGGATATAACAAATACCCAGAAAATGACGAGTGCACATATTGCCCTGCATAAAGTCCTGAAGCCTGATCTGAAGGCAGCTGAATATAGACAGTGTCCCCTGGTTGGAGAGGTAGTACTGCACTCCCAGATGCTTGATCCAGAAAACCCTTTTTATATTCATCATATGTATACATTACTGGGTCATTGTTCCTCATCAGAGACACCCACACGTTGGCTCCTTTGCACTGAACGTGGTAGGCAAAGTAATATATACCTGGTAACTCACAGGTGAAAACTCCTGTTTCAGCATTATAATTTTGTCGCCCATTATACAGGAGCCTGTCAAAGACAATTGGACTGCCCACAGGTGGAAAAGGTGTCGTAAGTATTGCGGTAAATGCTGGCATTTCCAATCCATTTGCTCCCATTACCTCTGCTCCATCTGTACCATATTTACCCTTCTTCCCATATCCCCCAGCCTTTACTCCATCAAGCCCAGGTCCCATCTCAGAAAGTACTCCAGACATATCCGGTGCTAATCCAGACTCTCCACGAGGACCTGGAGGCCCCGGTGGTCCAGGCAGACCTGGTTGTCCTTGTGGTCCAGTTGGACCTTCTTTTCCGGTGGGTCCAATCGGACCAGGGACACCAGGACTTCCTTCTGCTACAGGCCCAGGTGGCCCAGGTGGGCCACTCTCTCCTTTTGGACCAGAAACACCAGGAGATCCAGCTGGTCCTGTTACACCATCTAATCCAGGAATTCCTTTTGGACCTTGAGGTCCAATCTCACCAGGCAAGCCATCTAGCCCATTAGTTCCAGGAAGCCCTTGAGGACCAGGCTGACCAGGAAGTCCTTTGTGTCCACTTTCTCCTTTCACACCTACTGCTCCTGGTGGGCCTCTTGGTCCTGGTTCTCCACGATCCCCAGGAAGTCCATCTCTACCAGCCAGGCCCGGAGGTCCCACATCTCCTTTGGTTCCATCCAGACCTTTAGGTCCTCCTTCTCCACAGTCACCTTTAGGCCCAGGTGCACCTAAACCTCCAGCTGGCCCCATAGAGCCTGGAAGACCTGGGGAGCCTTTTGGTCCTGGAAGCCCTGTTGTACCGGAGGGACCTGTTAGGCCTGTATCTCCTCTTGGTCCAGCTGGTCCTGGTGGACCATTCATACCTTTATCACCTTTTGGTCCTGAGAGTCCAGGTTTACCAAAACCAGGCAGTCCAGGTTTTCCTGGTAGGCCTGGTGGTCCTGGATGACCTTTAGGACCTGGAATTCCTGCTGTTCCAGGAAGGCCGTTTGGGCCTGTCTTTCCTAAACCTGGTGCACCCTGTGGGCCTGGAGCTCCGGCCTCCCCTGGTGGTCCAGCTGGTCCTTGCAGTCCAGGATGTCCTTTATCTCCTGGAGGACCTTTTGGTCCTGGTGCTCCATGAAGCCCAGGTTTTCCAAAGCCAGGAAGTCCTCTTGGTCCAGCCGGCCCCGCTGGCCCTGGAAGGCCTTTATGGCCAGGTTGTCCTGGCATACCTAATCCTTTGTCTCCTTTGGGCCCAGGTAAACCTGGTAAGCCTGGAAGTCCTTTGTGGCCTGCTTCACCTTTGGGGCCTGGCTGGCCAGGTAGTCCTGGTACACCAGTCTTACCAATTCCTGGCAACCCAGGTGGTCCTGGTGGACCTTGGGGTCCCTGCAATCCAGATGGTCCCATCTCCCCTACAGGGCCAATTTCACCCTGAATTCCAGGCTCCCCATCTGCTCCTGGTCTTCCTGGCAACCCCTGTGACCCTGGTTTTCCGAGTCCAGGTAATCCAGGTGGACCAGGTTTTCCTGGTCTTCCCTCAGGTCCTGTTAGTCCATTGCCAGACGGTCCAGGGGGACCAGGAGGCCCCATTGGTCCTGGAGGCCCCATTGGACCTGGTTCACCTTGAGGAACGCCTTCAGCACCACTGGGAATGGTCTGGCCTGTTGGGAATTAAATATAAACTCTGTAATATCTATATAATTTTGTGATATTAATCTCCAAACATGAGAGAAAAGCTCTGTACCTTTGTCCTGTCCACCATTAATGGCACCACCATTTCGAAGACCTTTGCCCTTCACTGGCATCTGTGGCATCTCTTTTCGATAGTGCGGGTACTGCATATAGGGCATCTCTTTGCCCATGTATGGTTGCTGAGGGAAGCTCTCTTTGCCGAGGCCCATATGTTGGTACTGTTGTGCAGGCTGATATTGTTGAGGATGTTGCTTGTAGAATGCTCCATTAACACAGGTAAGGATTGCGATCTGCATGGACAGGAGGAGGGGGGCAGGGAGGGGAGTCATGATGAAGGCCTGAAATTAAAGCAAACAACAAGATAATGACTGATTAAAAAAATGGTTCTATTTAGATTTGTTGATGAAGAGAAATGCTGCCACCTCCTGCATTTTGTAAGCATTTCATTTTCCACCCCTTTCCAGGTACATTTTTTATGTTATGCTACATAATATAAAAGCATTTCAAAATCACCTTCTAAAATCTGACTTATTTTATGACGTTTTTGCCAATATATGGTATATTGTGGTTCAAAGAAGAAATAAAAAGATGCTTTGATGATTTTTTAATGGCCGGAACATCTAAAGCTGTCATTCTTTCTTGTATTTGAAAGTGTTCCTATTGCATTTGCACTTTTTGGTGTGCCATAAAATATATCTGTAAAATAACATGGTCTCAGAAAAAATCCATCAAAAACTTTTTGCATATTCTTAAGGAAACACTTAAAATTTGTTCATGTGTCTAAAAGCTCATGTGGACTGGAAAACCAAATAATTTAATTTAGGATTATATGCTGGTTATCCAACTAACCACTTTTATTATCCAGTTTGTCCATTGACTCATTGAGTTTGATGTATCCAAAGTGTTACCAAAGTTGTGCACAAATTCTATAAACTTCTTTCTGTACCCCTTTCCAAAGCCACCCAGCGGATGCTCCGTCACTGGCTCTTTGTGAGCATTGCTCCATTTCTCATCAGACTGGTGATTTTAACATGGTTGTGCCACTAACTCCCCTGATCAGAGTTTGTCTTTGAAAGGAGCCCAGTATAGAATCTGTGGTAACAAATGTCAGACATGATGAAGAGGCCGAAGAAATACTTCACTCAAAAAGATAATATTGTAAAACTTTTAAAATATTGTGTAAACAGTTGTAGTCAAGGCAAACTAATCATACAATTGTGTTGATATACAGTATGGCTTCTGCCAAGTATAGCTCTCACAGATCAAAGATCAAGAACATCTGTAATAACAGAATATTAAGTCATCATGGCAATTGGAAAGTGAGGAAAACACTTTCTGCCTTACTTCTTCACACAGTTGATGTCACTTTCATGAAAACATTATTGCATATTCATTTCTGAGTGGACCATTCATAAAATAGGTCCACTTACACACTTTGACCCAAACATTAACCGGTAAATTCCACTTTATTACCTGTTATTAGAGAAAACAGTTAGAGAAGGGTTTGCTTCACAACGTGTTGCTAGTCTCACCCACTGCTCTGTACCCAAAGATATTGTTTTAGCAGAGAGAACAGAGACAAGATTTATGTCCTGAGTGACAGGCCCATTCAGGGACGACCTCCAGGGATTCATGCAGCTTCATTCATTACCACAAATTGTAAGGGGCATGTTCGACCGGCTGTTGACTCTTGTCTTGCCAAGGTCACGTGTATGCTCACAAACACAATGTCGTGTGAAATGTCAGTACCACTCCAGACAGTTCAGGGAATAAAGCGTCGTTTTCTGGATAACTTTCATATTATTTTCATATTTTTGCACCTTGTCCCATAGCAAATTTCCTACTTTGTGACTTCCTGTTTTCTTTATAATATCATTATTCATTTTAATGCCCTTTTTTCTTATTGTATTGCTTTTATATATTTATTCTTGCATATTTCACATCTCTCTTTGGTATATTGTGACTTGGCATAGCTTTTCAAGGACCGCTAGCATGCTTTTTTCTAGGCTTATGTATAGATATGATTTATGATTACTTAAGAAGAAAAAATGTATTGTCAAAACATACAAATGGGTTCAACCGTATTCAACCGTAAAATATTTGTCGAGATTCCATGTGATAGTTTCCAGTAACGGTGTTGTTATTGGATGATTGCATTTGGAAGTGCAGATTGGATTGGATTGAATAATACTGAATATACCCAGAAGCGAGTTTATGGGTCTGCTGTTACACTTATTACACGTATACACACGTTCAATATACTACACAACACAAGCCTCCTGCATATTTTTCATTTATAGTATGATTGTGAAAACAATTTGTCATGACTGCAGCAGGAGAACTCAAACAAAAAGAGGGATTTAGTGGGAATAATAAATATTAGCTGTTGCGCTGGCTCCTCTGCCCAGACACATTTGTCTGTCTGTGAGCGAACAGAGAGCTGACTGTTGTGGTCCGTCTTCAGCCTCAGAGTGTGTCTGCCCTTCTGCCCCGTCCAGCACCTCAAGCATCCAGAGTCACTGACCTACGCCACTACATGACCTTGTAAAGTCCAGAAGACTGTGAGGTGCTGCATTACCATGCTAACAGAACTCTAACTATAACGTGGTAGAAGATGGATAGCAAAACAGTTCAAGAAAAATAAAAAGTAACTCAAAGTAGGTAGAATATATTGGAACAATCAACTGGGGTATTTTATACAAAAATGCCTCTTCTCTTTATGTGTATTACTAAAACAAACTATTAGTTATATATGTCCGACCTGCTTTAACTCTACACTCTAAAACCCCGTTCACCAGTTCTTTGGTTGGTTTAACTAGCACCAGGTAATTCTGACCAAAATATTGGTCAACATTACTAATGCAGTTGGCTGACCACCACTAACCACCACATTGTGAGGGAAGTGTCTCTAATTTGGTATAGTGCCAACCTCATATAAACTCATTCTCAATCTAACCAATATATTGGTCAATCTGAACTATATCAGTTTAACCAGCTAAACTGGTAGAGCATGTGCAATACATTACATAAAAGGTTTGCTATTATCCATCCATCCATCCATCCATCCATTTTCTTCCCCTTAATCAATTTCTGGGTCGGGGGGGTGGCAGTCAGAGCTGCACCCAGTACACTTAGCACCAGCCCCTCACTATGTTTGCTATTATGATCAAATTAAAATGAATACCAACTATTTTACTATTTAGTTAGGTCTATTTTTCGTTTATTTATCTTTATACATTTATTTAAAAAAATGACATGCATATAGAATGCCATAGTCTAAACAACCAAAACTAAATTCACTATACCTTTCATTAATCATCCACTGTGTTGCTTTTCTGAAGACCAATGAAATAAATGGCCATTTATTGTAGATAAAAGCAATACTACTGGAAGCAACGTCAGGCCGCGTTACAGTTCTGTGCGGAGGTGTACTCCTCATAGATCTCCACAGAACTGTTTATTTGCATTGCAAATAAACAGTACATTTTCACAAACAAATGGTATTGATTAAATGGTTGATAAATGAATATGAAGCGACATTGTGGAACATTTCATGCAGTGCTATGACATCGGATGGATTATGCACTTCAATCCAAAAAATGTTCTTTCAATCCCAATTTGGGAATATACATAATTACATGATTCCACTTTATATACAGTTTATATGGTGCTGTGGTTACGCTTTCTAAAGACATTTGCAGGCCATAGTTTAGATTTTACCACCAAGCACACCTCATAAAATTAACACCTCCCCAAGTCACGCTGCAAACATTCTGGCTCAAACAAAGCCAATATAAAAAGCTAAGGATACACATGGAGGAGCGCCACAGCTGTGGAGCTAAATGACCACGCTGTTTACTTCTTCCTGCTCCCGAACCTTCAATCTTTTGTCCCATACATTCCTATACAAGCACTGAATAGAGCCAACTACAGCCACAAACAAGCAGGCATATGAAGGTCAATGAAGGGCCAATAAATTGTTGCAATATATTATGTAAAACAAGGTTCAGTTTACAGTTGAGGATAGTTCGGAAAAAGTTTGCATTTGAATCAATAGCAACGGTGGAAAAGCTTTATTAGAAGTAATAGCAGTAAGCAGAAGCAAAATAATGTTAGCGGTCAGCAATAGCCATGGCCTATTATTAAGTATTTTTTAAACTAGTAAGTAAATAAATGTGAATATGTATTTTCCATATTGCTTGTAACCAAACGACTTCTGTACATCTTGGTAAACAAAAGGATACTCGACTACAATTTACAACAACAAAAGACCAACATTGCAAATACATGTTATGTCTGGTAAAGTAAATGCATAAATAGTAAAATCATAGTTAATCAATAAAAAATAAAATGGGCAGAATATCAAATGGCAGGGAGCAGAGGCGTGCGTGACTGTAACGACTTCTTGTTTCATTCAGGTCCAAACAAACCCACTGTTGAGCAGAAACGTATTCCGTGACGTTATAGTCCAGACATCAAGCGGATGTGTGGAGAGAAAATTCATAACATTATCAAATCAGCTGGAGCCAGGCCCTCTCAAGACCTGAAGTTAACGTTTGTCTGGAGTTTCTTCTCACCAAACTGCTGCTCTTTCCTCTGTCCCTATATTTGTAGCAGTTTACCTCCAGCTATTAAGATGCACAACACCAGTGAATGCATATTTGCCTTCAGTCCAACTAAACTCAGACACAGGTAGAAAACGCTTGAGATGCACGGTACATGCACTGGCCTGTAGCATACTGTATAAGAAATGATCGCTGCAGAGGGATGCCAATTTCACAGCTAAAGGCAATTTATTTAATATCTTATTTGATCCCACACCTGGCAATGACTTCTACACGTTCTTAATAAGTCAAAGTACTAACATTACCTTCACAATCAGCATGATATATATATATATATATATTTGTTATCAATTACACAGGCTTTATTGAATCCATAATTGTAATCTAGCTTTCTGATTCTATCTAATCTAGCATTTCAAATTTGTTCAGTGAAAATTATTATAAATTAGCATTGATTTTCACAAGTGATCGTAATGAAAAAAGTCCTTACCGTTGAGAGTGGCCGTATATGATGTAAAATGACTGCAGCCTCACCCCCAGACAAAGACAACACACAGAGTGAACTTTTGGATGCACACCTTGTAGTTAAAGCTTATATCTGCTGCTGGGTGGAGCCTCTTGGGGTGGGTGGGCAGCATAGAGTTAGGGGGTAATGGAGGAAAAGGAGCCACTCAGCTGAGAGCAAAACATAATTTTATAGTGGTAGAACTATGCTCATTTGCCCCGGCTGAAGTCCAGTGAGCTCAGGCTGGTGTTATGAATGTAATATCTTAAAAGTGCACTTCTTTTCTGGTTGGGAGTCTGGCAACTGCCTTTACTGTCATGTCACTGCTTTTACTTGCATTCTCTCCAGATTAGCTGTGTATTTAGCATTTGCTCCTTTTGAGATAGATCTGACTTGTAACTTATTCTGTAGGCATCATACTGCAGGGAGCTGGAAGAGGAATATTGAGAAGCACTGTCCGATGGCATTAAGACTGGGTCAAATTCAAAGGACAAATTCTAATGTGGTGTTAACGGCAACCGGCTAAATAAACCAATATAATAAAGAAGCCCTCAGCCTTTTCTTCCTCCAGTATTGAACGAGTGAATCCCCTCTAAACCTCTAATAAATAATTTTCAGTTCTCAAGAGTGCAGCTCTGTCAGCAGAATAACATGCTTTCAAGTTATGTTTTCTTCATATTTCACCCAAATTACAGTTTCAATATGGCTTGTATTCTAAGTGAACACAAATATTTTTGTTGTCTGGAATAAGGACGATTCACATCTAAAAGATTATAAAATGTATTCTCCTAATTCAGGGGTGTCCAATTGCTTTAGTTATATGGCACCTTCAGTTGACCAGACTTTTGCTGACGACATGGATTATAAAAAAGTTTGTACTGGTTTTGGGCTGCTCTGGGCTTGAAAATGGGGCATGATATGTGCATAATGCTTCAGTGTGACACAACAAAAAAATGGACTGGATTCTAACGGTTCTGGGCTTTACAACAGGGTATAGCATGCCTATAATGGTGGAGCTGAAGTTGGATTGTTGACACTGAGAAAGTATCTCAGTGACTACTTTGTGTTAGCAAGGCCAAGGGCCTCTTAAGAATGACACAGTGGGCCGCATTTGGCCTGCGGGCCTTCGTTTGGACATGTCTGGTTTTATTTTCACTTTTTCTTTACTTTATTTTTAATGTACTCTGTTTCTATCTTGTTTTGTTGTGCATGAATTGTGCTATACAAATAAACTTGCCTTGCCTTATTGTTTCCTTTCTTCTTTTGTAAAGCACTTGGCCTGTGTATGAATCGTACTGTACAAATGAACTGTTTATTTATTTGTTTTTGTATTGGTCATTTATGAATGATGAAATGAACAATAATGGGAAAATGTTTTTCAATAATTGTTTTCCATATTTTTCAATTCAATTGTTAGTTAATATTTAGTTTCAACCCTTGTGTGGGGATGTTGAAGAGCGGCCTATAGACCTGGGATCATAGTCTCCATGAGTGTTGACTATAGCAATAAGCCACTGTTTTAAATCATGACTTCAAATCCATTACATTTCTGCACGGTAACTTTAATTGCCGCGTTTCCATTACATAGAAATAATACCTTTTTGCTTTCCTATGTCAAAGCTGTCACTGCGTTTGTATTTGCATTCAAGTCAGCGTGAAGCTTAATGACAATCTATTCACAACAGCACCCATTTACAGGAGTGCGCCGAAAATACACCATTAACATTTTCGTGCAGGGGTTTTATGGCTCTGTCCTGACGAACTCTTTCCAGGGCAGTTTGACACCTGTCTACAACAACTTACTCAGGAGTAACTTACGCACAGCGCGCTCCACTGCACTGAGTCTCCATTGTGACTTGTGTAATTGGACTGTTTTAATGTGTGCAGGGCAGTGGAAGGTAGCAGGCGCAGTCAGAGCACACGTAGACTGGGGTTTGGAGATGGCACGGTGGTGTCAGAGGGTGGATGTCCTGTTCCATCTGCAGCAGGTAAGTGTCAGCTTACTCAGCGTAGCGCCTCAGCATCTGTCACCGTTTGGGATGAGTGCTGATGCGAGGATGTTCTCAGAGGCCCTCCGTGTTTGTCTGACATGTTAAAGATCATGATTAAACTTGTAGACACATTTTAAAGTATAGCTCCGTGTTTACGGCACTGCAGTAATAACAAAAACAATATAGCTTGAAACAATGCTGGGAAAAAAACCTAGCTTTTTATTTTAAACACCAGAAAATGACCATCATTTTGAAATAAATGAATTAACAAAGTTAGTAGGAGGAGTGCTGCAGTCCATCTTAGTTATTTTTTCATTAATATGTTTCTTTAATATGAGGCAACATAAGAATATTTTCTTCTTTCTGCTCCTCTTCATTTGTGTGACAGGACTAAAATTATTTGAAATTGAATTGTAATATGTGATTCATTGTCATGTCCACAATTTAAGTTAATAGATAAATAAAATGAAATAAAATAATATAAAATACAAAACAGACCACACCATGCCGTCTTCAAACATTTTTTTTGCGTCCTTAATAACATAGTAATTATATTTAATTTTATTTCATTATTCATCACACCATTCAAAGTGGTGGTAAACTGTAGCCACAGCTGCTATAGTGCAGACTGACCAGTCTGTGCCATTAACCCTTAAAACCCAGTCCCTTTGAGTCACTATTTGATGCTTTGAGCTGATTGGCTCTAAGAGGGTGCTTCTCTCTTCTTCACTATTCTTTCTTAAAAAGCTGATCTAAAGATGAGACAGAGCCCAATAATACATGCTGGTTATAGAACTAAACTGATCGGGGAACTAGTCAGATGGATTTTATTACATAGTTAAATTATTGGGGGTTTTGAAGTCAGGTACCTCAGCTTTAAGTAGTTTAAAACCTCACACTCAAAACCAGACACATGAAAAATGGAATGACATTGGATGGATTAAAATGTCTTCTTATCCTTGAAGCAATTTCTTACTTTTGACAATTCATGCAGTCAATTATGTTTTTTTTATTTGTATTGTGCAGCTAATATTCATTGTATATTTTTAATGGAATGTTTTGAGGGTTGTATTGTGACATTGTGGAAAAGATATTCGTCAATATGGGATTTTCCTGGTTTAATAAAGGCCTAATAAAAATCTATTATTATCCATTTCCATAGCAATGGCACAGGATTTTAAATGCGTTATATAAAGCAGTAAACCCGGCAGGCCCTGTCCATTGTGTCACACACTTGGAGCTCTAGTGTGAAAGGTACACGGCGCCCTGGTTGTAATGAGCAGTGTGCGTTTGCTCTCGTGCTCCTGTCCTCTTCCTCCTCCATTAATGAGGCCTCAATGAGCTGCAGCAGCCTGCCTACACCTGCCGCTCAGAGGAGGACCCTCAGGGGGACATACAAAACCTGTTTGACCTCTGCCTTTAACAGCTATTATGACTTTTAATGGCTATGGTCAGAGATGTGTGTTAAAGCAGCCAACTGATTTATGTGGGGGGATAAATGAAAAGAAAGTTGTGATTGGGCTTTGTAATTGGCAGCATTTGGGAGTTTAAAGGGCATATGCAATGTTTTATCTGGATTTCTTTTATTGGTTTTTATCAACTGTGCACTTCACCCCAATAAAGTCATGTGGCGTCTTCAGTCTTCTAATTGTAGAATGTATATAATTGTCCTTTACTGTGCAAGTAATTCATACAAAACCACTGTTGATCAGTATTACACTATTTACACCTAATACCACATTCAAGAATTAAACATGTGGACAAACCTGAGCCAAGTCTGAGCCTAGATCTCATTACATAAACATGCTATCACCACATACTTGGCTCAGGGTCTCACAAACACAGACAAGCATATTTCTTTTTTAGTTGTATTATTAATATAACGTTGGTTAGTTGACTTTTAGTCTTGAGAATGTTTATGATGCATAAATGTATTACATGAGCTCGACACAGTGATGAAAGACTTGACATTGTAAAATCTCAAGCATATCAGCAATACACGTAGAACCATATATATATAAAATATGTAATATTTACAGTCCATGGCAATGCCACAGAAACTGTAGAATATTTACTCAATATTGAATTGACATTTTACAGTACAAGGATTGGGAATAATGGGCCATCACTTCAGGTACTGTCAGAATTCAACTCGTCAGATTTTCCAATTTAGAAAGTGTGAGATTTCATAACACTTTTAAGCAACTTTTGTTAAAGTTAAACTCATCATTCTATCAATGTGCAGAAGCCAGTACTTTTCCCTTGTTTTGTCTATCTGAAGGCCAAGCTACAAGCACACCGTGGAAGCTGCTGATTTATGGAGCTATTATTGTTTCAATAATATTTGTGTGTGCGTAAAAAGATTTGTGCGCGCGTAACCAGATTTGTGTGTGCGTACCCAGATTTGTGTGTGCGTAACCAGATTTGTGCGTGCGTAACCAGATTTGTGTGTGTGTAAAAGAAATATTTGTGCGTGTGTAAATAGATTTGTATGTACGTATCAAGATTTGTGTGTGCGTAAAAAGATTTGTGTGTGCGTAAAAAGATTTGTGTGTGCGTAGAAAGATTTGTGTGTGTGTAAAGAAAAAAAAAAGTACGTTTTACACACAAGTTTTTTTTTTACACACGAATCTTTTGACGCAGTCCTGCCTTCGCAGATTCGCAAGTGTAACTTGGACTGTGTGCGTGCGTAAACAGATTTGTGTGTGTGTAATTTGACATTTGTATCTGTAGCAGAACAATCTGTGTGTAAATAACCGCGTTGTACAAAGAGAAGAACGAAAAAAGCCTAAGTGCTACGCACAGGCTCTGTTTTACACACGAATCTCTTTTTGACACACCTCTGCCGCCAAGCGTGTGTCAAAAAGATTTGTAAGTGTAATGTGGTTGTTCTAGCAGTACACCAGCAGATGGTGCTGTTGTAGCTGGTTATTACCTACACGCAAGCAAACCAAAACCTACTGCCTTGACAAGACACACTACCGCAGCTGTTTATGATATTTTTTTCCTATTTTCAAAATCCTGTCATTCACACCACTGTATGATACATGGACGTATTGTAATAATTAATAGTTACTTAATGTAACTTAAGTTCTACGAATAGGTGCGTAGTCCCTTAGGACTTCGCTAGTGGGATATCACTCGTGACCCCCAGGTCACACGCCAGAGAGATCAAAATAATTTGCTCCAATCACCAGCCACCTTCCTCTATAAATGCCCCTGCACAAGGCCGCCCCCCCTCTTGAACTCTGCCAAGCCGGGCTGGCCTGATGGGCTCGTAGCTAAGGGACTACGCACCTATTCGTAGAACTTAAGTTACATTAAGTAACTATTAATTCTACGTCATGGTGCTACGTCCCTTAGGACTTCGCTAGTGGGACACAACGCGGAGGCCGTAGGAAAATGTACTCCCAACAGGCCAGCGAAGGGTGATTGGAGCTCCGCCCGAGCAAGACCCTCACAAAGTGAGAGGACTCAGGGCAGAAGAAACAATGCGTGTTACAGGGCCACTCCTACCAAGGATACCCCCACGTAACACAGATATAGGTCATCCGTAGTCACAGGACGCCTCTCCCAAGGGCTCCTGACGTGGACTACCAGACCGACCAAAACACACATATATGTACCGCACCTGTAGGATGCCTCTCCCAAGAGCTCCTGAACCAGGGCGGAAAGCAAACCGAAGGCCCCCTCAGAGGAGGGACCTAACGGTCTAACTCAGTCCGCTGCACTCAGCACGGAATGGGCCACCGACCGGTCCGACACATCCAAAAGATAAGACCGGACGAAAGAGGAGGACGAAGCCCAAGAAGCCGCACGGCATACGTCCTCGACCGACACCCCCCTGAGAAGGACCGTAGAGGCCGCCATCCCACGCGTGGAATGCGACCTGAAGCCCACCGGGAGGGCCAGACCCTGCGTCTGATACGCCCGCCGCACAGCCGTGGCAACCCAGTGCGACAGCCGCTGAGCCGACAGCGGGGCGCCCCTGTTCTTGGGGCCCAGACACACAACAGCTGGCCACCCAACCTGAATGACGACGTCATGGCCAGGTAATGCCTCAGCATTCTGACAGGACACAGAAGGTGCCGCCGCTCCTCCTCGGGGGAGGCATGCGGTGGCGGATAGAAAGCCCTAATCCTGATGACTCTCGACCTAAAGGCCGACGTGATGACCTTGGGGAGAAAAGCCGGATTGGGCCACAATACCGCCATGCCGTCGCCCTCTCCAAGGACAGGCAAGACGCATGGACAGAGAGCGCACACAAGTCGCCCGCCCTCTTAGCAGACGCCAACGCCAACAAGAGGGCCGTCTTAAAGCGACACACTCGGGACTCGCCTCCGCCGCCGGTTCAAAAGGCGGACCCGACAGCCCCCTAAGGACCACCCTGAGGTCCCAAACCGGGGCGTTCTCTGGAGCGGGGGCCTCCTCCTGCGTGCCCCCCGCAGAAAACGTTTAACCAACGGATGAGAGCGGGCTGTGAACCCCCCGAATCCGTTGTGACCCGAAGTAATGGCTGCCGCGAACACCGCCAAGGTGGCGACAGCCCTCCCCTTGTCAAAGAGCTCCCGTAGGAATCCCAGGACCCCCTCCAGCGGGCAACGCCTGGGATCCCAGGAACGAAAACCGCACCAGTCGCTAAAGAGCCTCCACCTCGTGGCGTAGGCCCTCACAGTGGACGGCGCCCTCGCCCCCTGAGTGGTCTCCACCACCGCAGGGGGAAGACCCAGGTCTACGAGGTTCCGCCTCTCAGCCTCCAACCCAGAGCCTGCGGCCGATTATCGGGCGTGAAAACAGGGCTCCTCCCCCCCTGGACTAGAGCCCCCGGCTCGTCCGGGAGGGCCCAGGGCTCCATCACCGCCATGCCCCTCAGGAAGGGGAACCACCGAGCATGCGGACTGTCCGGCGCCACCAGGATCACCGACCTCCTCTCCTGTTCGATCCTCCGCAGCAGGACCGGCAGGAGACGCACTGGTGGGGAACGCGTA